TCTTTAAATCCCCTGCAGCAATCATACACATATTTACCTCGGGATCGCAGTGGTATCGGATAAAAGTAATGCCAACATCATTTTTACCCCATATTAGTGTTGACGCATTTAAGTAGGAGAATATTTGGAATAAGAAACGAAACATACACCCAATTATCTTTCTTCCTGATCCAACCTGTTTATGTTTCGTCTCTCCATTGGTTTTTTGACCATTTTAGAAGACCTCAAACATGAGCTCTTTATCCCTCTCCTATTGGTCAGTGAACGGGAATAGAGTGATAAATAAAGCGCGCATGAACTGCTCTGCCATCAGTTAGCTCGGATAAATCATCCGCCACCCATGCGTACGTTGCTGGCTAGCCTAAACGCCTTCGTGAGTTGGAAAGACAGTGGATAGGCTTAATGGTGTGTAACACTTTCCCCTTTACAAATCACCGTTTTCCTCCTCCCTTCTAAAGTGGAAGCTTGAGTGATACAATTATTCCTTTCTCTCACTTCTGTTTATAGTTTTGTGAAGCACATTCTCTTAAGGGAGAGATACAGGCAAAGGAAGAGAGGAAAGGAGAAAGAAGGGAAATGAAATTTTTACCCGTTTGAGATCTGTGTAAAAATGTGTTGGTAAATTGTTATAAATTTCACGCATTTTAAATCACTCACACAAAGAAGTCTGCCATTTTAAAAGAGGAATAGTAAACAGTTCATTAACAAAAATTTACTTTGCCACTTCAAAGACATTTTAGGACATGTAGACCCCGATGCAAAGCAGAAAGCAGAAAGAGAAGGAAAAAGTTAACAATAGGCCATAGGCATACGAGCCTCCCTCCGTCTTTCCCCTACTTCCCTCCATCTCTATCTTTCTTCCCGTCTTTATTCTTGCCCTTTGTATAAAAAAATACACACACGCGCACAGGTTCCTTTGTTTGTTTCCGGGTTGAATAATGAAACTCTTTAGCCCTCAACCAGTTTAAGGAGGGAAAATGTTGCCTCAGTGAGGGAACTATAGGGTGTTAAAGTAGAATCGGTAGACCGGAAGCATGCCAGTCAACTTTGTCGAGGCCAGTGAAGTGGCTGCCACTCGGCCTTTTTCCTTCCTTCCTACTTTAGCCTGATTGAGCCAATCACAGTAGGGGAGAAGACGTGAGAGATGTTGTAAGTATGCATTGTTAATAGACGTCACATTTACGCCTCAAACGGAGCAGCTAGAAAGAATTAAATAAAAAGACTATTAGGGATTTTTGGTTTGTCAAATCTTGATTCTTTGAAAGTTAAAGGAGAAGGAGTAAGGGGGTTCCACACAACTTTTCTCTCTTTTATTTGACTTGCTATGGCAAGAGGTGGCATTTGTCACTCGCAGTTGCGAGTCAATTGCTGTAGGAAGGAAGGGACGAACGAATGAATAAGCGGACAGGAGTAAACATGAAATGAGCGGCAATGAATAGGTTCAGGAATGATGGGTGGAAAAATCGGTGAATGCTTGGAGGATTTAAGATTGAACCAAAGAATGGCTGGAATGGTTCGTTAAGCCGATGGATCATGGATGGATAAACCGAGTTAATCATTCTAACGTAATACTATCAAATTTCTCTTCCACCGTCAATTTTGATATGTCTGAAAGATTAGGGAGTCAGGATGCTCAACTCAATATTGCATGTATGGGCTAAGATATGGAGTTGCCAGAGGGGATAAGGAAGATGGGCAGTGCCGACATTTCTGGCAGGACCTAATCTCTTCACTTATTTACTGTCAGAAAGGAAAAACGGGTTACATAGTTAGGATTTTCACAAGTTCAAAGAATGGAATCTCAATAAAGCTAGATAAGAACCAATCGTGGAGCACCTAGCCCCGTAGACGTGATGATCAAACACTGATCAAGTGACACCGCTTTTTCAAATCAAGGACACCACTTATCATCTGATGATTCTTTCTAACCCAACCAGTCCCTTCTCCTCACGCCATATAGTGTCATTTAAAGCCAGAAAAACCAGATAAATTGCATTTGGCACACACTAGTGACGCCAGTGGAGAGTGTATTTGGGTTCCACAAATCACCACAACTGACAATATGGGTAGCCAAAATTGGGCGATTTCGCGGTCACTTTGAATGCTCAGACTTACAAAATCATTTCTAGGAGTGAGAAAAGAGGCTGAGTGGCACATCCACCTTAGCTCTACGGGCATCGGGTTGTTCATTTCTAAGAAAGAGGCCCATTCGGATCCACCTTTCCGTGAAAGACACTGACTTGACAGATTCCCTGCGCTCTCGCACTGCATAAACTTGCTGGAAGGATCTGTTAAAGCCTTACTTTCTGTTGCTGATTTTAGCCAAAGTAGGCAGAGGAGAGGTGAGGTGGGAACAGATGCCGATGTGCTAAAGATGCTTTTTGCTTGACCAACCTTCTTATCACTGCTTTTTAAGGAGCATGCATGACAACGACCTTAGTTGCAGGTAGAACTTTTCAAAGGCACAACGTTTGTTAACAAGAAATACCAAGTATCCGTCTAATCCTCTAATGCCTTTGCATTATAATGCAGAAGACGTTTTTCCTTTTCATTGTATAGTGTGAAATGACACCCAAATCAGATAACCTCTGTGTTGCGCATTCAGTCATTAATCATGTCATGTTTTCGAAGGCAAGGAAGTGAGAAGAGAGCACCGTAATACAGTACGTCCTCAGTATTGGTCTCTGTCACCTTGGTAACATCTGTCTTGCAAAGCAGTTGACACTTACTCCTGGAACAGACTTCTTCGCTGAATTTTATGGTCCAATGGTGAGATAAGGTCTGTTATCTCGACAATGATCAAGGACCAAAAACATTGCTGCCTGAAGCGGAACAAATAAAGCTGCCCCCTCCTCTAAAATAATAAGACGCGTAGCATTGATTAGTTTAACTGTCCTTTTGGGTGGAGATACAGAAGGGTGCCAAGATATCTTTGCAAATATGTCGTCGCTTTAAAGTAATTATTGTAGGGAACGCATTTAATGATATGACAACTGCTGCCTACTTGGAGGCGCCTAGGTCTAGGCAGCGTTATCTTGAGGGGTTGTTATGACGTCGAGGGTATGTAAATTTAACGTCAAAATACAAATCTGACTGCTGTGTCTCGATATCCTGCGGATGCGTGACAGGATGGCCTCTGTACCGCCTCACGGTGTTCTCTGTGCCTCCCCGGTGGTAGTTCGCCCTTGCCACTAGCCCTCGCATTATTCGTGAGGTCTGAAGTGATACACTCCCAGCCAAAAGCCCGTCAGCACATCTGCACATCTCTGCTTAAATTACGCTTGGAAATATGCCTCTTGCTGCCCTCTACCGGGAGATACAGACGCGACACGGGAAGGGAACTCGCATCATTGCCAGGAAAGACGTTTTTCCAAGTTACACAATTTTCGATTCGCATGCGTCATTCCTTGCCAAGTAGGGCAACAAACAAAAAGCCAACTAGCGGCTTTCTTTTGCTTTGTTTTACTCGGCATTGCGTTGGGTGGAGACAAACAAACAAGCTAGGTTGGGGTGGATCATTCAAAGGGGAATGCAATGTCCCAGAATTCCAAGCCGTCATCAAGAGGGGCAAAAATTTATGTTTGTGTAATTGACAGTATTTTAAGCCTTGGAACTGGCGTGCCTGTTGTGCATTATGGTAGATAAATGTATCAAAACGACTGTTGGATTCAACCGACGCCTTTTTTAGGGTTGGTTGGCACCTGCGGCTAGCTATTGTGTGTGTAGCATGGCATCTGAAAAAGCTTCTGAGCTTACCAAAATTGGTGGTTGGTGACATGTTATCGTGCTAACAAGATAATTTTCTGCTAACAAGTTTGCCTTCACCGAGTTATCGTCTGTGGCCTTACGGCCAAAGCGGCGATTTGCTACATTTTGTGGAAAGACAGCTTTACTGAATCGCGGCTGGTGCTGGTGAGCACATAATTTAAACAAGCAATGTTCTACACCTCAAAAGATCTAACGGTGATTCGAATTATATAATATTTGAATAATACCAGATTCCTCATGTATGAGAGGAGCTGTAGAAACTCATATTGGGGACATGTCCTCCCATTCAATCACAAAGAGGTTTTGTTCTTTATCGCGACAGTCTACTGTTGCATTTTCCCTTTAGGCGGGTGAAGAGGTTTAGTGCCTGCGCCCACTGATCCGTAGACTTGCAGTCATTTTCGGTCAGTCGGTGAGTAATATTGGAGGGGTATATGCTGGTCCGAGTGGACAGGTGGGGTTGTCCTGGTGGCCTAATGGATAAGGTGCCAGTTTCCAAAACCAAAGAGTGTGGGTTAGAGTCCCAACCAGAGTGGCTGGGCTGCAGTATCTTCCGACGCAGTGGTGCGAAGTGGTTATAAGGCATGTGTTGTTGGCGTGTTCATTAGGCCCCAAAATATACTGTATTTCTGGTTGTCTAGGCATTGTAATGTCAGCGCTCCCAGACCGGGCGTCTATCAACGTGCGAGAGGTGGGATTTTCGCTGCGTGAGAGACGCCGTTAGTTAGTTGTACGGGAATGTATCCATGTGTAGTGAAAACTGAGTAACGCAAACGGCGTGACGAGAAAGCATGCATGCGTGTATGTGTGTATGTTTGCGCCTTGTGATTGTGATGGTTTTTTGCTTATGTTGAATGGATGAAGTCATTTCTTGTCATTGGAGTAGCAGAAGGCTTCCTAAAATATTATGTTTACTGGTTTACTATCACAATGAGGAGGTCTTTTTTCATGCAGACGACATATGTCTTATCCTTAAAAAAATTAAAAAAACAAGAGCAAATGAAGACCTCTGCTTTGAAAGACTTGTCGCATATTTACTCTAGTTGGCATCTTGACAGGATCCAACCTCACGTATATGAGTATAGGGACACCTAATTTACTTGTGACAAGCGCCTTGGTGCAGATGTTACCCCACCAAGATCGTCAATGTAGTGTAGGCAAGACAATGTAGGGTAGGCAGGACTTAGGGGCTACGGCACCAAATTGGCAAAAGCGACGCAGTTAGTGAAGTGCTTACGTTGTTAGATGTGTTAGTGCAATCAAATTGAACTGGGGGCTAGAAACAACTAACTCACTATGGGGCTTCTGCAGTAGTGTTTTAGCGACCGATGCAGTGTAAACTTAGTGAATAGATTGCTTTACCTTCGTTTTTGTAAACTTAGCAGAAGGGCCAAATCTTATGAGCATGAAGATTTCAAGGCTGCTTGCCCAACTTCTTGCCGTCTCTCTATATAGGAATTGATGTAGATGTGAATTTGAATTAAAAATGGGGACTAGGAAGTGGAAAATGCACAGCAAAAGTGATTGTAGGGAAAAAGGTATAAACGGAACTCGCGGAAGAGGTCAGAGCGGATTAGATTAGATCACTGTCAAAATATTTTTCTCGCAAAGGAATTGTTTCACCACAAGCCAAATATAGGCGGAAGCCAGAAATGTACGAATCACGATTCAGTCTGCCTATACCGACCATCCATACTGTACATTCATTTCATTCATTGGTTTCATGTCTAACTAGGTTATGTCCAAGTGTTATTATGGTTGTGAGACAAAGTGTGGTTAGGGTCAAAATTAATCGAGCAAATTAGAATCACAAAATTTCTGGGTATCTCTCGATTGAGTTGAGTGGAATGCAGGTGGTGCACGTGTGTTCACACAGGTCCATTTCCTAACCGTGAATTCTACTTGGCACATGACTTACCAATCGGAGGAAATTGGGAATACTCAACAAATGTGGAGGGTGAGGCAGTGTCGGAACTCATTTTTTCTTCCTTCCCTTCCTCCAGCCCTCTCTTTTGCTTTTTCATTCCAAAGAATATGCTTGCTTGCGCATGAAGGAGATTAACGGCAATATGACATATAAAGCCTGCTACTAGGGCTAATTTTCCCCAAAGATTTTCGTCGAACGAAGAATCCATGTGAAGTATGTGGTGAGCATATAGATTATAAAATAATCAACAGAAGCTTTTTCAGCTTTACAAAGGCTGAATCAAAACCATTTAGAGCTATTCATCCCATGACAGTCGTTCGGTTGTCAACTGAATTGATTAGCACTTCTAAGCGGCTCTTGTATAAAGAGCGACGCACGCACGTACACTTTGACATGAACTGACTGCACCTCTCGCCCTGTCGGACATTTAAGTGATCACCGGCAGTGAAGATGTCAAAACTGCCTAAATGACAGGGTACCGAGAGAGAACTACGAGGGAGAACTTGCAGGCGGTGAGGCAGAGGAAGGCGTTGACTATGGCTGAGGGCACCATGCAGGCCAGGATGCTGACGGCGTCTACCATGCTGGAGGAGATGGTGCGCTTGTAAAAAGAGCGACGCATGCACACACACTTCGACATGAACTGACTGCACCTCTTGCCCTGCCGCACCTTCAAGAAGGGAACCTACCCGCTGAATAGTGTCAAAGGCAAACACACAGCAGCAGGGAGATTGACAATTGGGTGGCAGGGTCCTTATTTGTACTGGATGTAATCCACCTTGGTGTGCTCAATGAAGTTGGCAAATATGATGAACACACCCGAAGGAGAAACTGCAACAAAATAGGCGACGGTCTTAAATTTCAGCCCCTTTTCTTCCGCATTTCGGCATTGTTGCCGTCCTCCAAAAGTGTTAGTCACCATTCTGAAGAGGGTCCGTCTTGATATAAAGGATTATGTTTAGACTGTCTAGACATTTTCGGAATCTAGAAGTCCACAGCACGCAAACTATGAAAAAAAAATATAAAAAAAGTAAGGCATCTTATCAAGGACTTGTTAGGACCAATTAACTCCGTCACCATCTTGTGAAATAATATCGAAAGATGCAAACAGGTCAGGTAAAATTTAGCCGAATTGATTGAAATTAGTATACTTAAGCAGCTTGATGAATTAACATGGAGGAATGTAGGTTATTTCCAGAGGTAAGGGTGTCAATGTTAGTAAGTAAACAAGACAAAACATTTTAATGAGCTATTTCCTAAAACAACTTTTGCATTCCACTCCTTCGAGCAACAAAGAAGACACCGAAATATGAGTAAGAAATTCAAAACTTTTATTAAGCCCTATTTTTTCACTGTTTTGCTCTATGCAATGCAGGTAAATTCAAATGCTTAATAATAATATAAATAAAATAAGGGGAAAAAAGTGTAAAACCCTTCTCCCTCTTTTCCATAAAATGGAAGCAACGTGAAACAATCGGAACAAGTTAGTTAACTAAGCTAAAATTGGCTACAAGGGGACAATGAATAGCTTGAGTAATTGAGAAGCAAATATATGACCCTCATTTGTGTCCTTCCAGAGAATGATAAAAATATTGGCTGAACGAGGAGGCTGATCACCATGATCTTCCTTACTCTGGATAGGTTAAAATTCCTTCACGTTTCCTCTGCGATTTGTATCAACAAATCCCAATATCTGTTCAGTCTCAACCAGTTAGTTGGTTAATAATCTGGCCTATTCTTTAGCCCTTCAAATTGAGTCAGCACCATACAAGCATGGTGAACTACCGCTGCATTAAAATATATCTTCGAGATATTCTATTCCCTTTTTATGGCTATCTGGACACACAAGGCCTCCTAAAAACCCATTGGTTTTTACTCCTCTTCAGCCTCAAAGAAGGAGGCGTGTATTCCATGCTGGCAATTTCCTGTCCTACGGACGCTGGAGAAACTCTACGAGAACCACATAATTGTGGACTGAGGGTTAACGAAATAACTCGCTTATGAACAGCTTTCAAATTTTCATGCCTGTAGTGAGTGTGCTTTTTCAATACGAGATCACAAGCCGACCTGAGCTCATGCAAAATCCACTTAATCACCGTTCGTTCCACAGGCGTAGTAGAAGCCGAAATTGATCTAATTAGCTGTATTTATTGCAGCCCTTTATTAAGCAAAGGAGCAAAATTTGATCCAAAGATACACTTTAATGCTTAAAGTACAATGACTTTTCACAAATTTATGCCTTTGCAATGGAAAATGGGTGTTTTGTCGCTCAACAATTAGGGTTATCGCTATTTTTTCGAAGGTAATCGAGGCAGAAGAGTAGAATGTTGGACCTTACACGTTGCCTTGGAGGCAAATAAAAGAGGTTTCTGAGGTGGATGAGGATGGGTACGAGCAGCATCTTTAGCCCTCCTTCGCTCTTCTATCTCTCGATTTAGTGGAGCATCGCATTAACGGGTTTAGCAGTGATGAGAGGTATGAGGTTGTGCTCTGCCGAATTTTATGTCCTCCTTTTGATTATCTAACAAAACCTGGAAGAAGATACTCCTTGTATTAGTTCGACAAAGTCAAAAGTATTTGTCCAATAGCATACCGAAATTCTACACTAAGCAATCGCTTTTGCAGTGCACCCACACAATCTCAAAGCAATCTTCTGAGAAGTGATGTAAGTGGCAACTGGGGTGTTTAGGCGTATGGCAAAGAAGAATGCTACAGAGGCAAAGACCTCATTACCTGTCATTTAGTAACGAAATGAATGATGTGGTTAACAAGAAACCGCTATTTAGGGCCCACCAACTTATTTATTGGTGGATACGACTGGGTAAAACATCAGGTGGGGAGACATGTTTCCCTTTGGCAAGGATGATCAAAATGTACCAAGTAGGACCAAAGCCCTTATCCTCCAGTGTGGGGGGGATGGGCGTGAGGAGGGGTGGGCTGCGTTCGCCAGCCCACCTTCACTACCTCGGGTGGTTAAGGCTTCGGCAGAAGGTGCTGCGGGTCCATGCCACACTCACCGCAAGAGGGGGTCAAGATCACGCTGTTGTCCTTGTTTTGCCAGGGGTTGTGTGCATCTGCATCAGCTTCGGTGTGTCTACGAGGCGAAGGGCGCCAAGCGCAGTAATAAAATTAGGGAGGATTGTAGAGGATGTGGCGGAGGAGGGAGAATGGATACCACTCACTCCGTTTTGTGTTTGCATTACAGAAAGTAAAAACGAATAATCGAATCCATACTTCTTCTCTATTCCTTCAAAAAAGCTTCTACGTTGAGGAACAGGAAATTTGATTCACTTTTACTCGTTGACATATGCGTTTGAACTCATTTTGCGCTTCGCATCCAGAATATATCACCCTAATGCATTTTCCAGGGAAAAAAGAAGAATGAATTTGTGTTTTTTAGATTACATGTAGTTAAAACCCAAAATTGAAAAAGAGGTGGAACAGAGTCTACGAAAATCAATTCGCCCCAAAGGTGGCGCGTAATTTAGCCGCCTAGCTTCAATAAAACTAGTTGTCCCTTCTGTTTTTTTTTGAAAGTAAAGTCCGGCTTTCTTCATTCTTGTGGTAGGAAATCAGTCGAGCAGATTCTATGTACAGGAGATGCCGGCTCTTCGATCAGCCCATTCATACATTTCGCAAAAAAACCTAGTATATTTTGAGGAAACAATGCTTCTTTAGAGCAAATGCAATATTTGGAAAGAAAAATCAAACCGTGTATGACTTGATTAAATTCTCGGAGACGATTATTGTGTGATCTCTTAATCTTCTGTGTTGGTGAATTGACAGCATTGGCAATACTACCTCCACCTGTGGGCTCGGTAAGGCATAAATATACGTCGATGTGTACTTTTGCTATTTCATCATCACATCTGATTTATACACTGCAAAACATGTGTCAAATCGAATGTGATAAGGACACGGCTTCATAAAAGGTCGTGTTAGCTGCATTTAAAGGCAACAGAACCGCAGTGTGATAATTAA